TTATTGTCATTCACCGCCACTATTGTCACCTACTACTATCACTGTTGTTGCAATCCACCACTATTGTCCTTATCACTATTGTCGTTATCGCTGCCACCATCACTATTGTCGCCACCATCATCTCTATTAAAATAATAATAATTAATTATGATAATTAATATTAGAAGTATATTGTAATAAAGTTAATATTATTTTATTTATATTATCTATTATTCACTAAACAATGTATAAAGCAAAAAGTTATCCCATGATTTTCACATTTATCCTTAAGGGATGGTTCACATTATTGACTATGGGGGTGAATACCCCCATTATTTTTTTGACGTTTAATTTTCTTCTATACATATTACAAATATAATGTGCCCCAATTTATTAGGTTAAAAACTAAGTGTCTTCATTGTTCTTGTTGTTTTATTTTGTAAAAAAAAAACAGTTAATTTATTAATTTTTGAAATTTTTATTTTATAGTATATTGGTGGGGTTGAGCATTTCTTGCATCTATGCATTTTATTTAAATAAAATATAAAATGTAAAGTAACTAAAATAGAAAATAAATGATAAATAACCAAAAATAAAAAAGATTGAATGATAAGAGAGAAAAATAATTGCTTGTCGTTACAAAAGAAGAGTTGTGGTTGGTTTATGATGATAAGGTACCAATTACCAAAAAATTAATGACAAGTTACCAAAAAATGATGATAAGGTACCGGTAATTGAAAACTAATTTTTTTTAAGTTAAAGTCATTTTTGGAGTTAAATAAATAGAATAATAAAAAATGACTATAATATTAAGGTGTAAAATTTACTATTAAAAAGTGAAAACCAAATATTTCATTTCCTTTCTATTATTATAGATATATAATATTAATTATAGTTCAATTAAGTTAGTACAGATATTTTAGAGTTGGTCCAAGAGTAAACTACTAAAACTCAATTTTTAAGCCTACCAATTAAAAATTATTTGCTAGTAAGGTTTGTAAAGTAAAAAAAAAAACTATATATATATATATATAGATAGATATATAAAGACTCAACATATAATTATTTTATTTCAAGTATTAAAGTTCCTCTCAAATTTTATTTCATATTTCTATTATTGTTGGACTAATCTTGAAAATGATGATGACTAGCCAAGTCTATATTATACTAGTTTTAAAAAGAAAAAGAGTTACAACTTTGATATTTTGTTTTAGGCCTATGATATTATTAGAATAGGCTTAAAAGGGATGATGACCGGCTCAAGCTCATATTATATTATTTTTAAAAAGAAAAAAGGTTAAAATTTTGCCTAATTGTGTAGTAACTTATGTAGAAAGAGATATTTTTTTAAGTATTAAAAATAAAAAAAATCATTCAACATTTTCAAAATATGAAATCTTATATAGAACAATATGTTACAAATATATGTATAAATGTTATTTCCACTATTTAAATTTTTAGATCCGCTACTATTTATGATGTGTTATATCTAAATTTGGTTCATGTAACCATTATAAGTTGATTCAACTAAAAAGCTATCATCCCTGCTCTGGCGCCAAATATTTTAGTCATCATCATTAATGTTCATAAGAGAAATACAAGAATAGTCTTCATATCCTCATGCTCTAACATATCATTCATCATTTTAGTATTTCAACCACATGACTCTTTCACAGTCAAATACTAATCCTCAACTTCTAGAGCTCTTCCGTGACCCTCGACTAAGCCAAACAGCTACCCTTATATTTCCTTAACCAAGGATCATTGAAACTCTAATTTGTCTATCACTACCCACCCTCCAATGACGACCTTAAAAATGTAGAAGACCTAATTACCATTCTTATGTTTAGATATCGAATTAAACATTTCCCACTATTTTTAAGGATTTATTGATTTATTAAACCTTCTTATTATCTTATAAATAATAAATTAATGTAATATAAATTAACTTTTAAAAAATGTAAGATAATATATGAAATGATATATAATTCATCTTATGCATATAATTTATAACTATAACAATAAAGAAAGTATTTTTATTTAGTTTTTTTTTAATCTTTCAACGAATATATCAAACTACTGGGCCTTCTATTTCAACCTTCCACATTGTTTACTTTTCTCTCACTAAACTTCTGAATAAATAATAATAAAAAAATATAACGTGAGTTCACATTATTAAAAAGAAACTGCACCAACCACATATACAATTAAGTCCAAATCTGAAAAGTAAATAATAAAAAATTGTACATATACAGCCATGCATGCACCGCGTATATTGTTGCTCTAATTTATTTATTAGTAAAAAAAATACTTTGAATGTGTTTCTTTTTTATATTATAATATCTCATATGCAATCCATACAACGTAATACATAGACTCCATACAATTTGAAATCACTCTCAGGTTCAACATGCACCCACCCGATGCATCAAAATCTCATTTTTTCCAAAACCTCGAAAAATGAGCAATTTCTTCAATCCGACCTTGGATTCTAAAAATTCATGCATCAATTGAGTTCCTAAACTCACATGCAACCAAACAATCTACATTCTAGTTTCTCACGCCCGTCGTGATTAGGGAATGAGGGGCTTATGGATGAGTTCACGTCGGGCGTGAGTAGAACCACGCTGGGCGTGATATCAGATAGTGACCTTGTTTAATAGGTTACTGATATGGCACCGGGTGCAAGGTATGCGCGTCGGGCATGGAGACCTCTAAAGGTCTCTATCTAGATGGCGCCGAGCGCAAGATGGGTGCGCTGGGTGTGGAGACTCCTAGGAGTCTTTGTCTTAAGGACGCTGGGCGTGGGGATTCTACGCCGGACGTGGATGAGTTTAGAACTCTTGGGTTGGATGTTAGGTCGGGCGCAAGCTGGCTGCGCTGGGCGTGAGTATGATTAGAAATATTGATTGAAAATGATGTTTATGCATGTTTAAAGTTAAAAATTTGATCATTTATGTATGATATATGATGTATGGTGATATATGATTCATATGTATGGTTGGTAATGATATATATGAATATTTAAATATGATATGACATACGTGTATGTTCATATGAGAATGATATTGATCATGATGGCAGATTGACCATGTATGATGAATGATACATTATTGCATGTGATGCCTTATGACATGTGTCTAGCTTAGGACTTGAGGAGAGGGAAATGTTTTTGAACTGGAAGAGTTCACATAGAGTTTTTTGAGAGTGATGCTTGGATAGATTACTTATATAAATGAGCGGGGTGCTTAGATAGGTCACGGGTTTTGGGTGAGAGTGGTGCTTGGATAGGCCACTAGTGGGTGAGTCTCCTCTAAGTCCTTAGTTAGTGTTGGAGCGGGGTATGAGGTCGAGGGTTATTCCCTTAACCAAGTACTGGGGAAGGTGCGTGGTTCCTTGCAGATAGTCGGTGGGCGAACTTCACAAGTGACTTGGTAATGCATGCCAAGGTCGTGATAAGCTTGTACCCAGCTGTGCTATACCTGACGGTGGATCCGAACTTCCAATTATGTAAGTGACATCATCCGAGTAAACCCGAGTGAGGATTTTTATCCTGTTTAGTTGTGACCGAGCGGGCGCAATATTGGGCGTGAAAACGGTTGGGGTGATTTCGGTAGGATTGGAATGTCACTTATACTACTCTGTTGTTAGGGAGATCTCTTAGGTATATGCGTGAGGACGCATTAGATGGTAGATATGCATTTGATATCTTTCATGTGTTGCTTAATTGCACGAATATTGTTATGATGAAGTTGTGTGGTGTTTGACTTCATGATTGGATGACTTGATAGTTGAGTAACATATATATTTATTCTTATGCTTATATGATTGTTTATTGAACTCTAGCTTACCCTTCTGTTTCCATGTAGATGGATTGCGATGATCATATTGTGATGGGAGCAGGTCAGGGTTAGGTATGAGTTGGTGTGACCGTTGCTGGTGAGATCAGACGCTTTGTCCTAGTATCAGAGTCAATTAGAGTATTGACTAGTTGTGCTTGACCGGCACTAGGATGATATTAATTGTGATGACTTTACATATATGATGTTATATTTTATATACAAAAACATAGTTATTATATTTTATATATATCTATATGTATGAGTTATCCCGTTTTAATATTTCTCTTAATTCACTAGTAGTAGTGCAATTCCACTAAATGTAGATACATTGGAGGGTCATTACAATTATTATTTTTTAAAAACTACTTTAAAATTTACTTTAAACATAATAATATATTTCATCGGCTCCGCATAAAAAATTAACATATTTTTACACTTTAATGTTTTTGAAGATGTAACATAAGAAGCTATGATAATCGGGATATGTTTAGTTTATCTTCTTATTAATTAAAAAAAAATTAACTATGTGTTTTTTTAAGAAAACAGACTATTATTTCACAAAATGTTATAATCTGTTGGGATAAATGTTTTCATAAACAATTTTAAGAGAGTTTGATAAATATAAAAAAAAATATTATGAGAGATAAATAAAAGAAAAAACAAAATTTTGCATAAATTAAAATTAATTTATACATAAATTAACCTACTAATATATATATATATATATATATATATATATCTATGGGTAGAAATATTTGTGAACTAAATTTGCAATTTTGCATTGGTTTTGAACGTTGTTGTTTATTGTTCCTAAAATGGCGCATTATTGATCGTGAGAACACGTTAATTCCTCCGAATATTCCGTTTATACCTCACCGCTGTCTGAGGAGAATCCTTCTTCCGTTATTAAACCAAAAATGAAGGGTACTTTCGTAACTGTAAATTACCGAACACCAACTTTCGTGTCGAAACTAGAAGATCGCAACTGTCCAATTTCAATCAATGACCGATGAACGGTTCACAAATCACGTTTGACTGAGGTACAAACTTTGAAGCTGGAATGATTGGAATTGATGGAACTTTGACCATAGAAAACTAACAAATTCATTAATTAATTATTTAAAAAACAGAGAAAATTCCACGTGGCACCCAATTTTGAGAAAGTGGGTTCATAAGATCTGTGTTGTTTGGCTCCCTTTACTCTTCCATTTTTCTTTGTCCATTTTGTTGTATTTGCAGGAAGCTGGTGTAAGGGAAGAGAGAGAAAGGTTTTTTCTCTCTCTTTCTCTTCTTTACGTTTTTCTCTTTATTTTTTGACAACAAATTTTTGGTGGGATTTAAGGGTATTTAGGTTGTGGGTTGAGTTGAGTTGTTGGGGTTGGAAGAATATAACGCTATGAATATGATGCGAAGGTTGAAAAGCATTGCTTCTGGGAGGCCTTCCATTTCATCAGATCCGGTAAGCTTAACATCTATTTTTTTTCCCATATCAAAAAGTTTTGATTTTTATTAGTTTTGGAGCAAGTTTCTCCCCCCCCCCCATCTGGATGTTGTTTGCTGAAAAAAATAAAAACTAATTTTGATCAATAAATGAACATGTTCATTGATTTGGGTTATTATTGGGGATTTTTGGAGTGTTGATTCGTGTTAGGCATAACATTTTTTTTGTTTTTTTTTTAATTATGTAGTTATGAATTTGGTTTTGCACCCTTTCTTGATGTCATTCCTTACAAATGTGAATTATTTCTCTTTTGTGTAAGTGATTGTGATTTTGATATTTATCATTATTATTTTGATTTTGAGATATAGCTTTATTTGATTTAAAAATGGTTTATGATCTGGCTAATGGCTATTTATGTTCTGCTTCTCAAAATGTGTCATTTGCTGTTTTGTTTTTTATTAATCTGATTGTCCAAGCTACCGAGGGCACAAGCTTTGTGCGAGTTTTGACATGATTGTGCTAGTTATTGGTCATTGTCATAGTACTTTTCATTTAATTATGGGAAGAACTATGCTAAGCCTAACTACGTGGGATTGTTGGCAAAATGTTGTGTACCTTGGAGTTCTATTTGGTTTTCCCAGTTTACATCCCTCGTAAAACAGACATCCTAAATATATTAGTTAAATTCAAACTATTTCTTTTCAGAGTGGGGATTGTACCACAAAAAGAGTTAAATTTGATCAAGAGACTGAAGGAAAGGTCAATGAGGAAACTTGTGCTACTGAGCGATGCGGAATAGATCAGGACCAGCATGTAGAGGCATCAAACGAAACTAGTTCCACTGTTTCTACAATGGCTAGAACTGAGAAGTCAGGTTATGATCAGCTTCCAAAAGAATTAAATGAAATGAAAATTGGAGACGACAAAGGAAAGAGCAACAACAATGAGAAGGTATTTGTTGTGATTCGTTTGTCTTGTTTTCTTACTTTTAATGTTTATGTTAGTTATCACACTGATAGTTCCATAAATGTAAAAATCATTTATCAATATTCTGTATTCATTGCAAAGTTAGCTCACTAGTTAGTTTTGTAAAGCTTCTTTTTTCTTTTATTAAATGCAATCGAGTTTGATAAATGATTTGCTCTGAGCAGGATATGGAAGCAACTATTGTGAATGGTAATGGAACAGAAACAGGTCAAATAATTACAACTGCTATTGGTGGTCGTGACGGACAACCAAAGCGGGTATTTTTCATGAGCTCCTTAATTACTTTTTTTCCTTCTATAATATGCTTATTATTGGACAAAAGGTTGTAACTTGACATATTTGGTTTTTGTTAGAGCATTTTTTTATTCCGTTGTTATTTCCAGTGCATATAGCTTGCTATGAAATATTTTGCATTTTTTAACTTTATTTTTGCCTGGCTCAGACAATCTCATACATGGCAGAACGTGTGGTTGGCACTGGTTCTTTTGGTGTTGTTTATCAGGTATTTATATTTGTTTTGCAGTATTTCTTATAAGGATTGATCCTTTGCTTCACTGTTCTATGGGTTTGTCATGTTACCTTCTTTGCTTATTCACTTTGCTTTGAATGTAGGCTAAGTGCCTTGAAACTGGTGAAGCAGTTGCAATAAAAAAGGTGTTGCAAGACAAGAGATATAAAAATAGGGAACTACAGGTTATGCGTATTCTTGACCATACTAACGTACTCAGACTAAAGCACTGTTTCTATTCAGCAGCTGATAAGGATGAGTTGTACCTTAATTTGGTTTTGGAGTATGTACCTGAAACTGTCTACAGAGTTTCAAAGCACTATATCAGAATGCACCAACATATGCCTATCATTTATGTGCAACTGTATACGTACCAGGTAATATTGATTGACCTTTTTATTGAATTTTTGGTTATGAATCTCCTTGATCATGCTTATAGCATTCAGTTATTTGCTTTAAGCTGGCTACTTTTATGCCGTTAGTAATCGATCTTGCTAAATTCTCATGTAGATATGCCGGGGTTTAAACTATTTGCATCATGTGATTGGAGTCTGTCATCGGGACATCAAACCCCAGAATCTGTTGGTAAGAATTTCTTCTCTTTCAAATTTCCTTGTTTGTGGACCATATCGTATATATTTCTTGCAAACAGGAGAGATGATTATTCTCAGTATGATGCTTAATACCTTAAATAAATCAATTGATCAGTATGAGATATGCATTCTAAACTTCATTTTAAATCTTGCCTGGGGGCAGACCATTGTAAGTTATAGGTCTACTATGTTATTGCTTGGAAGTATAGATAGAGACAGTAACTGTGCTACATGCTGACAACAGTTTTCCGATAATGATTATTTTGACACGGTATATTGCTTGGAACCCTTTATAATACCAAAAGTGTATTAAACTTGCATTTGATTGCATGTCACAGGTTAATCCCCAGAGTCATCAGTTAAAGATATGTGATTTTGGGAGTGCAAAGATGTTGGTATGTTTCTTTTTCTTTTTCTTTATCAATTTAAAAGCTATACAATAGTTTGTGCCTGAGCTTGTTATTTTATTGCACTTTAGGTGCCTGGCGAGCCCAACATATCATACATATGCTCTCGGTATTATAGAGCTCCAGAACTTATTTTTGGTGCAACAGAATACACTACTGCTATTGATATTTGGTCTGCTGGCTGTGTTTTGGCTGAGCTTCTTCTAGGACATGTGAGAATTTAAATTAACTCTCGCTCTCATATTTAGAGGGAATTTCAATTTCTTTTGTAAAAATTACATTTCCAGCAAGTTCTCTATGTACGACAATTCTATAACTATGTTGTGCTATTTGCAGCCAATGTTTCCAGGAGAGAGTGGGGTTGATCAGTTGGTAGAGATCATTAAGGTAAAGTTTCTTGTGTTCTCTATCCTTTTATGCTTCTTGAAAGATGCATCCTGTTGGTTTTGGTTCTTCAATCTGAGTGTAATTATATGTATTATAGATCTTGGGAACACCAACCAGAGAAGAAATAAAGTGCATGAATCCAAATTACACTGAATTCAAGTTTCCTCAAATTAAAGCTCACCCGTGGCATAAGGTTAGCAGTTCTTTACTTCCCACTTGCCCCTTAAGTATGCAATTTGTAATTCATAAATACTTCCAGAGATCTGATTGATTATCAATATCAGGTTTTTCACAAGAAGATGCCTGCAGAAGCAGTGGATCTCGTGTCAAGGATGCTTCAGTATTCACCAAATCTTCGTTGCACTGCTGTAAGGAAGTTAATTTGCTTTTGTATATTCAGCCACACTAATGAAGATGGACCATCTTTACACAGGATGGTTAATTTATGTTAAAAATTGATACTTCATCCATGCTTGATATATTATGGAAGTTAGGAAGATATTCAGCTTTGCGTGGTTATTCTGTTGCCCTAATGATTATATTTTGTTACAGTTGGAGGCATGTGCACACCCTTTCTTTGATGATCTGCGAGACCCAAGTGCATGCTTGCCAAATGGGCGAGCACTACCTCCTTTGTTCGATTTCACTGCTCAAGGTATGGTGGTGATAAGCATATCATTAGCGGTTAAGGTCTGATTAGATAAAGTTCTCTGGAAGTACTTAATAGAAAAAGAAAAAAAAATCAACTTCTCTATAAGTGAAAACAGCTTTTGGAGAAGTTAGTATAAGACAACTTCTACAAATTAGCTTATAGATAAGTTAATTTTATATTATGGAGAAAGTATACTTCATTTTTTCTTCATATTTCTTTTCTTGTTAGTGTTTACAGAGAAGTTTATCTAAATAGATCATAAATAAAATATTTTTCCATTACTTACATCAAAAATCAATGCAGAACTGTCAGGCGTATCAGATGAATTGCGTAGGCGTCTCATTCCTGAGCATGCACAAAGTTGAATTCATTGTTGAGCATTGTAAATGGATTTTTGGATGAATAGATGACTACACCAGCAATGCTACCTTCCCTATCAGTCTAGGTCTCTGATGTCCATCCTGCACGATCATATGACTATACAACTCGTAGGAACCTTAAAATCATGCAACCTCTTTATCAAGGCCACGCAGGTGACAATGAATGAAGTAGGACTGCCTGGTGATAGGGTTGCAACCATTTTTTATGTAGTTTATGATTGATGTATGCATCAATTGTAAAAGATAATGAGTCTTAAATCCTTTGCTCATGTTTCATGTAGTTCAAGATGCTTGTTCCTTAAGAGGACTATGTGGAATCATCAGATGAGTAGGAATCTTTTTTCAACCCCTTTATTTTGTATTTGTTAACTTTGTAAAGACATAAAAGAACAGCTTCTTTCTTTATTCTGCATCTCATGTTTCGTTCTCTAATTGTCAAATCTGGTTTTAGGGTCTTTTTTTTTTTTTTTTTTCGGTGGGGGGATAAATAGCTTAATTAAATACTTATCGAATTAGTGTTTATCATATAAGTGATTATGTGTTTAAATTCGAATATATAAAATAAGGTTAAACTGTTCTCATATAAGCTGTAACTTATTTTTATGTTATCTTAAAGAGACCATCTAAATAAGCTAAAAAAAATATATGGACGGAACATAAGTTAAAATTACAAGTTATTTTCATAAGCTTTCCCAAACATTTTAAGAATTTATGTCATAAGAAAAGTTCATATAAACTGTAAAAGGTTATTTGAAATGTAACTAAGTATGGTCACAGCGTGAAATTAAATATATACAAGGACAATTTTCTTCCATCTAGGCAATCAGGATTAACCAACCTCTTTTAGGAACGGAAAGTGGAAACGGTAATTTTTGGTATTAAGATATTTTTCTATTTAGAGAAATTACTTTCCCTATATACAGACATATATATATAAATATATATATATATATATATATAT